CGTCCAAAAAATTGTAAGATGAGTTAGAGAGAATATAAAAGTTGATTATGTATGTGAAGTTAATAGATTGAGAGACGAGAGTTGAGTTGTTCCTTTTATGGTTCTCCCTGACATATAGTGGATTTCTTGTATTGTCATCCTGTGAATGTAGGTCCAAGTTGATCGACCAAATCACGTAAATTTTGGTGTTCTTTCTTCTTAATTGTGGTTGTTTTCTATCTTGTGGATTGCTGGTTAACTTCCGAGTTGAGGAGATCATAGCAGAGGGAACTAAAAATCCTGAACACGGTTGTCAGCGGGCTTGCTGTGGTGGCATAGGCTGTTGGGTGCTTTGGGGCGGAGCTTAGCCATTAGGGTTTGCGATGGGCGAGAGAAGGCGATCGCTGGGAGGTGTGAGCTGAGTCTGCAAACGGCGTGGTGACGGCAAGGTGGAATGGCGGAGATACAGGGCACTATTGTCTAACAACAGTATTTAACAATTTTATCATCTAAAATTCAATAGGAGACACAGGGAATTATTGTACTTGCTAAAAAGACTTGACTGACTAAAAAAGTCAGTTTTAGTCGACACTAATTAAAAAAAAAAGGGTTATGAGATCAAATATTTGGAGAATATATTATAAGCCACCTATAAAGAAATGGAACAATAATTATTGCTATCCTCTTGCAATGTGGGAGAAGATACGAACTTTTGTTCAATTCCATTAATTGATTATAAAAATTAGAGGCAGTAGTCACTGAATGACTCTGTCCTGTTTGCCAATTTCTCATAGAAGCTAGAATGCCACATGCCATTAATATATCAGGAACTACAGGCGATATAGTTCACATGTCATAAGCGCACACTGCACAGAAAGAAGGGGAAATCAAAATCCCAAGTTTATTTCATGTGTAAGTCAAAGAATCAATTCTGTTAGGAAATAGCACACAAAAATTTCTTCTGTAAAAACCTCAAAAAGCTAATTTTATTACAAGGCGATATATGTTTTCTACGTTTCTTCATATCAACAAGTCTTCTATTGCTCTACTGGAGATCTAAGGGGTGAATCAAAACTGCCTGCAGGCCATACTCAGGCCTACGAAGAAAAGAATAAACCCTGAACGCAACAGAAATCTGATCTCTGGTAATCGAAGCAGCAATCTGAACCATTCAGCTTCCAGCAGCATGATGATTCTCATTGAATCAAAGTTTTCAAGCCAATCCCAGAAAATTTTAATATTCAATCCTGTGTTATCCCATCACAGCCTAGTATTAGTTCCATTTTGTCCTGTACAGATACAAGAACAGTCGGGATCGTTCAACCTCCTCCTAACAAGTCGTTTCTCACGGTTGATCATTAGTTTTATAAGGGGAACTTTTTGAGAAACTTGGCGCCATATCTCATTCACTGTCCCATTTGGATCGTCGTATTCAAAATATCTTTTCACCTGAAAATATATCCAAGTTAAGCCTAAGAGTTCTGAACTAAAGCACGTATGCATTTATTTGATTATATCCTCGTAAAAATAATGGTAAATACCATTGGGATCAAAAGAATTTCTAAATCATAGTTCTGAATGGGCAGATTTATAGTTCTTACACAAGTTATTGGCAACTATAGTAAGCAAGAAGACAATTCAATTTGAAACTAAGGGAATGTATGTATTATTGGGGTGGGCATATTATGAGATATTGAAATTGAGATGTATGGCTCAAATAAATTCATAATAAGGCTCGCATGCTCAAAAAATTGTAAGAGGAATTTGGCTCTTCTAATGAAGGAGGGGTCAGCCCCATCTATATGCTCTTTTTTTTATGAGCAATAATTCATGCAGGTTGGTAATGGAAAAAAAAGCCCAAGAAGAACAGAACACAGCAGACCAACAGAAAATAAGAACACCACCAAGACAACAATGAGTATTACAAAAATTAAATAATGCTCCCATTTTTATGCTATATTATTTAATTTTCTCATATTCTGCCACTGTTCCCCCATCCCAAATCTCATCTGAAACAGCAGCATGTTTCCATCAATGCATGTGTGTGTTGCTCCTATTTTTATGCTTTATTATTTGATTTTCTAATATTCTGCCACTGTTCCCCCATCCCAGATCTCATCTGGAGCAGCAGCACATTTCCACCAATGTGTGTGTGGGTGTGTGTGTGCATAATACTAGAGAAATTCAAGCATCAAGTAGTGGCTTATCAGCCTGCAACACCAGCTAGCCTAGGCTAAGAAATAGATACATTCAAGCATGAACTAGAGGCAGAGATCATTCTGCAAGCTCAGATAGTTATAAAGGCAGCAGGAACAGCCTTCAATGGAGAAGCATGGAGACTCAATCAACAAAGAGAATTCTTTCATACCTTTAAGCATTGTGAATGTGAAGAATAATGTTACTATCTCTTACTCTGACCACTTTTTGAGCAATGTAACTACTGTCTTAGTGTTAAGGGTAATAGTATAATACAATCCCCAACCCCCTTGAAAACAACAAAGTAGTTTCTGAACACAGTTATCTAAAGGATAATATTACATCCAGCCCCTTTTTGAATAAACTATAAGGAGCCATACCAGATATTTGCCTTTAATTGTCTCCTTTGCCCATGTTAGTTTTCTCATCTAGTAATCTGTAAAGCCTTTACTAAACCATCACTCATTATCACAATCCAAGCCTCTTCCATCACAAGAAGACCAGCTATATAGAGATAATTATGTTCAAAAAGGTGTCGATAGAATTTCAGAATTTAACAAACTATTAGGACGGGCAATCAAGTTAAAACCCTCTGAGTTGGTGAAAAATTGGTGGTCAACAGAATAATGGACATGTGATGTACCACCCAATAAAAAAGTTGGCATGTAAGGGAAACAATCTTATTTGTTAAGCGGTTTAATGCTTACGTGAACAAAGTGCAACTTTTCAAAGTTCCACCTAGACTAAGAAAGAGTATAGAAGAAACGCAAGGACAATAAGGTGTTTGATTCAGAAGGTTGATTTTATCTTTGAGGCATGACATAAGCCAAAGTCAAATAAAAGGTGCATTACGTGTCCACAAATACGATGTCAAACATTAATTTCAGAAGGTCGTGACTCTGAAGTAAATGTTCATGTATGATGTCAAACATTAATTTCAGAGGACATTGACAAAGCTTTTAAAATAAAGTGAATGTCAGTTCAAGTTGTTATCATTATCTTCCCTTTGCACCAAACCCCCTCCTCTCTCTTCCCTGGCATGCGCTGGATCAAAACTTCCATGGCACGTGTTGCAAGATTATAACACAATATTTCAACATGTTACAGAATTTCATTAAGCCTCAAGTCCTTGTTATTATGAAGTTAGTTTTAAAGAAGTAAATTTCAATTGCATTGTTATGCATAAAGTAAACGAACAAGTACATACCAGTTTAAGCTCTTTCTGATACTGCAGAATTGCTTCTTCACTTATTCCTCTCAGATATGAAGCTAAGTACCCAGTCTTCACAGCAGTATCCGTGTCCACAAATACTGCAATTTTCTTATAGTCTATGATGTCTTCAAATGGCAACTCAATGTAGTCACTGACTATCACTGGAACACATAAACTAACTATTGCATCAAACAACCTGCAAGCTGAGGGTGTATCTCCAGCAGGATGTAGGCAAAACTTGGATGAATGCATGCCCTGCGATGCCATGCGCCTGCTTACCCTGGATTGTGCTCCGTGTTTAATAATAACATCATTCTCATGCTCAAGTATTTGGAAAAGAGTATCACGGATCTTCCCTCCCTATAATACAAAAGATTGCGGGAAATGACAATATGCAATATATAAAACAAATGGAGTCAAAGGATAGAAGGGGACTGATTTTGATATGCATTTAAAAGTGCGTGATTTTCTCTATTTTAATTATTCTAAGGAACTGAATTGGGACTGGATTAGATGTCGGCTTATCAGATTTAGATATACATTATACACACACCCGATCAAAACCCTACCCATTTATAACCATAATTAGTTGTTTGTTTACAGATTAATAGCAGAAATTACTGATTCCAAGTACTTAAAACAGTATAGAATCCCAGGAGAACCATTGGTCAGTTACCAGTGATTAAGTATTAGACACTGGTACTAGACATGTAAGGAATACCGTTAAAGTATAAAATAGGATAAAGTGAAAGGTGCTACATACAATTGCATAATGGACACATGCATAAAAAAGTTAGACCAAAATAGAGGAAGATTAGGGAGTATCATTTCTGCATTGAAGAAGTCATCAGCAATCTGTTCAGGAGCCTACTGCAACAATAAAAATATTTTGGTTGTCAAAAAGAGGGAAGTGAAAAAGAATTACCTCTTTCCGGTATCGATTGCCCATAAAGAAGAGCAATGATTTCCTATTCCCAACCCCAATCTCTCCGTTATATGAATTAATGCGATGTGAATAAGGCAAGATTATATCCTTGACCAATGATGCCTGATCGCCCTTCAACCTTCCGAAGTCTGACACCAACAGAATCCCATTCCTCACTTTATCAATTACCTTAAACAAAGCATTGGGATCCTGAGCTATTATCACATGATCCCTCCCATTATTCCTCTTCCAGTATTTGGTCCCCTCTAACCATTTTATCAAATCCTCCTGCATACATAGTTATACATTTAGCATTCACAAACAGTTCAAGCAAAGCTCAAAAATCGGAATATGGAAAAACCGTAACACCTTCCAATATAGTATAACAAAGTGTAGATGATTATAGAATTCTACAGCACAAAAAGTAGGAGCACAGATGGATACGAATATTCACACATCAGTATTCCTGTCTAATTGGGTATAAGTACAAGTGTGTAATATCCATGTCTGGGAAGAAAACGACACGGATGGATACAGTTTTTTTTTTGTTTTTGGTTGGATACAGGTATGGGCATGGTTACAAAAGTAACATGGATATAAATATACACATATTTGTCTGGATCAAACGGCTAAATTATTTTGATCTTAGATTAATAGGCTGGAAATCTATTTTAGTGACCCAGCAGTGTAATACCAGGCTTTTGGGAATTCAGACTCATTAGTGCTCTCTAATCTGAAAGATTCTATTGTATGTAGATAGTTCTTACATCACATGATCTATTTTTTCATATTCCTTTTTCTTATACATAATATCTATTCATATTTTCTTCCATTATGTATGATTCCCATCCATAGCTATACCAGATATGGATGTGAGTTTTCCATATGAAGCACATCTACATCTGTAATACTAGTGATAATAAGACTAAACGCAATCCATATTCTACAGTTTGCACCCGTAATAAAAAGGAATAAACATCAATAATCAATCCTGCAAATTTAATAACCACGTTATCGGACCATCAATCGTTTGGTGAGACAAATGATTTGTGTATATGACACGAGTGGATTGACTGCAGGAGAATAATTCAGAAATTTATGTATAGAAATCCGTTCAATAACATCAAAAAATACAGCCAACTAAGACCTCAGGGCCTGTTTGTTTGCACGGAAGTAACTGTGAAATAGCAGAAGTAGAGGAAGTAAAGACTACTTCTGCAGTAACTGTGAAATAGCAGAAGTAGAGGAAGTAAAGACTACTTCTGCTACTTCTAATGTTTGTTTCTCTTAAAAATCTACTTCGCTACTTCTAATGTTTGTTTCTCTTAAAAATCTACTTCTGCTACTTCCTTAAACGATGACATGGCATCTATGTGTCATCTCTATTTCCTTAATTTTTTTCCGTCAAAAAGTCTTCGAAATACGACGGAAGTCATCTAAGAAGTGATCAGTTCTTATCTATATCCTCACAACCATCCTAGAGTCGGTTCTATCCTCTGTCCTCACAACCAACCGACTCTTCCCCTTCTAATATCCCCAGAACCGACTTCGCCATTCGCTGTTCACTCAATTTCGCGGTTCTAGTCCCCACCATCTTCGCGGAAAATGAGGTCGCAGAGATCAAAGCCGCTCACTTTGAAGAATCCATGAAATTCGCTCGAAGAAGTGTCAGTGACACTGACATCCGCAAGTACCAGGCATTCGCGCAGACCCTTCAGCAGTCTAGGGGTTTCGGGAACGAGTTCCGCTTCTCAGAGCGGTCGGAGCCTGCGGCTGGCGCCGGATCTGACCCCTTTGCAACCTCTGCTGCGGCTGCAGACGATGATGATTTATACAACTAAATTAACATACGCTTTGGTTTTAAAGACTTCTTTTAGATTATTTGTTTATGGTGCATGTGATTTCTTCAACTCTGGGATACGCTTCCAGTTTATGACTGATGATTTAAGAAAGAACACGCATGAAGGGAAAACTGGGATGCATTGTCTCTGTCACTGGTATTCATGTCCATTATTATTGTGAATATGAATGAGTATATAGACAATAGATTTTGAAGTGTATATGTATACACGTGCCATCAACAAAAGGGAAAATCATTGTGAATGTGTTATTAGTTAACTAGCGTCAATACATCAGCAAAGGCCATTTTGAACCGTCGTGACGCATTAATAATAGTGGATAACACCATCGCAACTACTAATGATAGTAAATAGTAGCATCGTAAATTTGAATGACAGTTACGTAATCCCAGCAAGAATAGATGCTACTTCAGGTTTTAAAGTAATTGACACCAGGAGTTTGTTTGGGCCTTGATTCCTCAAACCGATATACCACTTTCATGCATCCCCCCTTGCCTCTGCCTATGTGAGTCCAAAGTAACCCGATGTTGTAACAACGGAATATGTCAAAGACGCAGGTTCAGGTATGTCTTTCTCCCCGAGTGAAATGCGGCTCGAGCCGCGAGGTCCCACTGTCTTTTTTGATCAAATATTATCAAACGACGAAACCTGGCTTTCGGCTATCTTTTAACTTCCACACAAAAAGAGAACAAATGACAAACTGAAGCATTTCCTTTGAAAGCATACTGAAACAGATCTATCCAAGTCATCATTTTTTCAAGAATAAGTGAAATAATATTACGTAATCCCCTGAAATGCAAACTCTTATCTATTTCTATTTTTAATTTTATTTTAGGAGTATATTTGCAATGTCATGCAGATTTTTAAATTTAAATTGATGGCAACAACAACTCTATTTCTATTTCAATGACAATCCAAACAAGAATAAAATGGAAGCAACATGTATTAATTACTTCCTAGTAATATTTTCAAATATTATCCAAACAAAAAAAGTAAATGAAGAGGAAGAAGTTCTACTTCCATTACTTCTAAAAATATAAGAAACAAACAAAAAAAATGCTATTTCCGCTACTTCCTACTTCATAGTTTTGGAAGTTACTTCCGTAACCTACTTCCTACTTCCAATACTTCCATTATCCAAACGGGCCCTGAGTTGCTACAAGGATCCTTTCCCTATATCCAATTGCTAACCTAGCAACTACTGCATCTTTTTCTACGCTTAATGTTCGTTCCTAGCTCAACCGTTTCTCCCAACTAGTGTTGCATGAATATACGTTCAGCAAGTGTTAAACTCGTTAAAACAAATTACAAAATCAACAGGAATCAACAGAACAGATTCGGTAGAAACTAATGCATGTAAATCATTCAAAGCTTATAACTTCGATGCAATCTCGCCTGCATTCCTTCGTCACTATACACCGGCCCCTTCGTCCCCTCCGCAGGCCGAATCGGATTCACCACCAAGCTCAGCGACGAGAAGAACGGCACGTAGAACAAATCAGCCTCCTCCGGATCAAGAACCCGCTGCAGCGGCGACCCGGCCCGCTCAACCCTGTTCAGGTCCTCAAACAAGAACCACTCAGCGGAGTGCTGATGGCCGGGATACTTCAACGGGTCGCTCTCCTTCGCTCCTCTCGCCGCCGCGTAACTCTGGATCGCGCCGTAGGTAAACTTACGTGGCAGATCGTAGAGGTAAATCTTGGGGGCTTGAAATCTGGTGCTCGTCGTTGAGAGATGGAGAGGGATCTTATGGTTAGGGTTAGGGCTAGGGTTAGGAACTGAGAAGGAGGAGAAGAGGTAGAAGGCGAGGAGAGAGAGGGGGAGGGAGAGGAGGAGGGGTTTGAGGAGGGACCGGCGCATTCTGGGGATTAGGGTCTGGGATTTGGGGGAAACGGGAGGA